TGTATGTATGTATGTATATATATATATATGTATATATATATATACATACATATACATATATATATATATATATATACATACATATATATATATATATATATTTATACTCATCAGAACTGCACGGTTTAAATGCGAAGTACGAGCAGTCGCTTACCTGGACCATCGCACGGGCTGTCTCGAATGGGGCGTATGTTGCCAGGTCGTTGATGGTACAGATATCTGTCAAGGAGAGTTGAGTATGTACCGAAGATAAAGAAATGCGACAATTATTTATTATTGTATTCATATTGGGGGTTTGACTCATAAATGGTGGTGGTTGTGATGCTGTTTTCGAATCACGTGGTTAACATACGCACTCTCAAAGCCGAGGACACGCCAGTTGTACACACAACAATACTACTTCTGCGACAGACACAGACCCTTGCAAATCACTCTGTGCACGACACAAATGACTCATCACTACAAATAGCTCATCACTACGAATGACTGACCTGAGTGGTTCAACAGACACAAATGACTCATCACTACAAATAGCCCATCACTACGAATGACTGACCTAAGTGGTTCAACAGAGCCTTTCATTTTTCACCCAGACCGATGAAGAGAGTCACCTGATGTAAGTCGTAGATCAGAACAGCGTGCAAGAGAGATATACAGTTTTAATACCAGTGCAGTCATATATAAACTGGGTAGCTCAACGATCGGAGTGCATTTGCTGGCTACAGACTGGATATATTCATGGGTGTGCTTGTCTCGATTTAATGTGGCTTCATACTGATAAGGATGTGTGTAAGTTTCTGTGTGTCTGTGTGCGTGCGTATTCGGTCATAATATGTCGTGCATTATTGTTCGCACTCGTAGCAAAATCCATGCACAAATGCGAATAGTCTGCTAGAATTGTCTGGATAATACCTGCAAGTATATGTATATACCAGCCAGTGTCACATAAGGCCATACCACACCCTTACAAACACGCACGCGTGACCCTTAAACCGTCCAGCTACCTCGGATTGCAGGATGTCGTTGATAGTGTGCGCTTTATGGTAGTCCTTGTGGCTCGGAGCGATCATGTGTCGTATGGGGGACATCCCTGCGTGAACAAGTTTTAGAGGTCATTGTATTTGCATTTGTATTATTGATATATTTTCGAGATGTATATGTCACACAGGAAACACGTACGAGAACTAGCTGTGTTGTACGTGTGTCTGTATCGTCTGCTCGTTTACTTGGAAGTGACATCCTTACGTATGCGATGTTGATAGCTACTAATGAGCATATATTATGAAACGGTTTGTGTTTAACGCTCGCATACAAAACGTATGACACCAAAATATTAATATGGCCCTATCGGCAGGTTCACTACTAATAGCGTAGCACTGGGTTTTGCGGAGCACTGGGTTTGTTGTTTACATCGAGAAAGGGTGCTCTGGTCTATTATCATTATCAATATACCCTCCCTATGGGCTGATGCTCTGCTTTACCCTCAGCTAACGGTATCACCATTCTAATTTATCCCTCGGAAGGTAGCACAAGCCTCAGCCTGGATTTGAGTATCATACCGAGAAAGGGTCCAGCACCTGCAACCCCTTCTTCCTGGAACGCTGATAGCTGCTTAAGTGCCTAGTGACCACGGAGAGGGGACTAATTAGACAGGGAGATTACGTACAACAGTACTGTACAGAGTTTGAACACAATAAAGTTAAAAAATAGGCGACATGTATTGGTGCTACTCTCCCGGGGTCGCACTATACCAACGTCGTACCAGTGGGTAATTGATACTACAAAAACAGTACGACTGTAGCGTGATACGAGTTAGCGAAGACGCGCATGTTGCCATCTGAGTACCAGTGTCGCGTGCATTGCACTTGACACGTACTACAACCAGCTCACATACACTTCCTCGCCCGACTATGTTATGATGCGATCAGATCTAGATCTCAGACCGTATCTCTATAGTGAAAAAGCACAGTTCTGAATGACTGAAGGTTTCGGGCCGATCCTATATTGAGGAATACATTGCCATGATAAACATGCGATCCGTCAAGACTCGAAATCGGTTGCAGGTAGCACCACACACCCATGCCCATTGTCCATATCTGTAGTGTGCGAGTTCATTGATGTCATCCACTCCCAGCTCCTTCCAGTAGTCGCAATCTTTCTGTTGTGTGCAGAGTTGGTGCAGCGTATAAGCAGCATTCATTCGTAGTGTTTCGTTCGACGCCTAATGTTTCGAATCACGTAAAAGTGGGCTTATTGAACAAATACATAAGTGCTAACGGTAGAAGAATTCTCACACATTTCTTAAAATGTCTCATAGAATAACTACAACAAAACAGCCGCATAGAACAATTGGTATTTCTATACATTGTGTCCCGGGTACATTTATAGCTATAAAACGTGTCCTGTGGGTTTGAACGAGCTAGAACCCGATTATGTTCTAAATGTGATTTTCACTATACAGACGGGAGTGCGAGGTTTAATGTAATGTTTGCAACAGGTTCCAGGAGCACCTAGAAAATGCACTATAGAACAAATATGTTTGAAACCGTTTAGCAATGCAAACAGAACAAAATCACAATGAATTGCAAACCGTGACATGAAATTAAACGTTTTTGCATCCTCTTGGATACTCTGTGACACGTACCGTTCCGATGCAACTCAAAGCCGATAGCTTTACGAACTCCAATTTGGCAGGGTCTGATTCTCGAAATTCCTGCTTTCGCTCAAAACATGAAGCAGTGACGAGAAAATGCAGACATATGGCTATAAACCCCGAACGTGCACAGGTATTGAGCTCACTATTGCCGCATGAATATATATTCAAACAGCGAAGGCTTTATAAAACCAGAGTGCACATCTCAAGTCTACTGTAGCCTATAAAAAAATATCAAGCTCATTCTACTAGCTGCGAGTATACAACTAAGAAATGTATTCTCATTGTGCATCAACGACTAGTAGTATACATATAAACATATTCTATACTCATATTGATATACGCAGCCTGAAACAGATGAAGTATACAGTATCAAGTGGCTTGAAGACTATGCGGCAGATGATAAGGGGCTATAAATCTTGGAGAGTGAAATGTATTTCTTGACTGCAAAAGATCTCTCGGCGTAACAGCAAAACTCAAGAGAAATGTATGTGTGTGGTCGTCAGGGTATCCACTCCAGTCCAGTATCGTGTGTGTACTATCACACTGCACTCTGAGAATAACACTCGCGTATACCTTCGCCAATGCCAAATTGAAATTTGGTACAGATGTCGCATTGGGTAGCACGGTGGCAGTCATCATCGTGACGAACGTATGAGGTGCAAATATTGTGTGCAATGTTGGATATGTGTGCATACGCAGTGAATGATACATGCGTTTATATACAACTTTGTATCTTGACAAGCAAGGATTTCTCGAAACTATGTTCACATCATAACGAAAACCAGTATGCTACTATTGCAGTGAATGAAATCATGCCTCGTAATTTCCTATTTCGTTTTCTCATAGCCTGTCCCAGTATCATACCGTTAAGCCGCCTGCGCTTGAAATGAAAATGTTGTTGAAATATTCATCTACTTTAATTCTACTTCCATGTATATGTGCACATCGATGTCATAATAGTCCCTGCGGACCACGTTATAGATTTTAAAGCCAGTATAGTATTCTAAAACTTTATTACACAGGAGAAGTAAATATTTATATTCTGGGCTTTTGTCACTCAGTGATGTTTATTTGTAATTTTAGTTAGCAAAAGCCGATCATGTGTCGTGGATTCGTATTAAGGATCAAATATTTGCCTTTGTACTACAGTTGCACGTTCACTCGATTCGAACAGGCCGAACGCGATGCAAATATCGATATCATCTGTACAGACTCTGACTCCCAACGTTTTCAGTGTTAGCTACCTACGTGGTATGACGGTAGTCAGTATGTGCTTGGATGACTGCTCAGTTGGGTGAAGGTAGATTGGCTCTCTATTAAACATACTTTCATCAAATAACATTGCTTTTACAAACCTCTGCTGATAAATTGAAATTCTGATATAATGTATCATGACGCGTCTTTTGTTTTGCCTGTGACTGACCGCACCAAGACATCTCGTAGGTGGCTGAAGCTCTGGCTCCGCCTCCTTCTTCGCTCTGAGTTAATTTCAGATGATCGCTCCGTGTTGATTTCAGATGATCGCTCCGTATTGATTTCAGGTGATCGTTCCACATAAGACCATCGTGCCATCCCGGCGGCCCTTGGAACTGGCGCATCGCAATTAGATCGCCTATAATGCTTTAATCTAATTATACTACCTAGGGATAGCGCCTGCTCAGGATTCACCACACATGTGCTGGCAATTTGAAGTACACTTTCAGGCCCGGGTTCACTGCTTCTACGCACAGCTGCCAGGAGACATGTGTTGGATTCATCAGCGCTATCATCCGAATAGGGTAGTAGCCTGTGCTCCTCGTCTATTGCGCTCGGTACACCAGAAACACTTGCATACGCTGACAATTTCACAACAGTCATATTGCAAGTATATGGTGAATTCCAGATTCTATAAGCTGTTTTTGAGTTTATAAAGTATAATTTGACTTGCACCACAGTACGAGAGATACAATAGTGAATAGAGAATAAAATTGAAATACATATAAATATATTCAATACTGGCTTGTCTAATTTAGAAGGCTATGCAAATATGAAATAAATGCATACCAAATATTCTTTCTTGCTTTTAGAAAAATAAATACTATAAAAACAAATATTCATGATGAGAGCAACAGTCAAGAGAGTGACCTCGAAAATTGAATAAAGTAAAACATGAGACGAAATTTTTAATCCCCCTTCGGTCTTCTTGTCCTTGTGGTATTGTATATTTTAGAAGGCTATGGTGGTATGTATTAATTTTTCATAGAGTTAATTCAGTATTTTGCTCTGCTGCGGCGAAAGTCGAGACTGGAGCCAGGAGCAGCCAAGAAGCAGGAGGCAGTGGCAGAACCTGAACTGGAGTGACTCCGTGACTGCCAAGTGCCAGCAGCCAGACCCAGTGTCCCCCAGTCTGACAGTCTCACACAGCCAGACCCAGAGTCTGACAGTCTGCCACCAGCCCACAACTCGTCAGTTGTTATTGATGAACCTGGTGATTTTTATTACTTGCCGATATAAGCATTAAAGTTACAATTTTTATTTCATACATGGTCCTATGGATCTCAGATGAGGTGTAATTTCTAGGTCCGCGGATTTGTCCCCAGTTATGGCTGTTGAGCGCGCCAAATATGACCGGGCTCCGAGTTCCTATTTTCTATTGGCTATACCAACCGAATAATATATTCAGTTTGTTTTCACTTTCCGGCAGTATCGGGTATCCACAACTCATTTCTCAGTTCTGGACTTCTCGCCCCTACATGAGAATTAGCACCGTATACAATCAAAAATTCAAAATCACAATCCACTGGCGCTAAGTTGTAGAAAACAGGCCGTCGGTTGGGAATTGGATATGCGTTATGAAAATCATGGCGAGCTTATGATTGGTCGACACTCTCAATATAGCCCACTTCGTGGATTTTAGGTGCACATACGAAGTGCAATTTTTGAAATTTCGATGGGCATATTTGAGCTACATAACCGTTTAAAAAAAAAGTTTATAGAACATGAAAATAGGCGTTAAAGTTCGATTTTTATTCAGTATACACGTATGTAACGTAAAATATTCACCGCAAAAATAGCGAGCCCATTGACTTGCCTTTTACGAAAAGACTAGCCTTTGAAAGGTAATCCGTAAATTCTAGGGGGAAGATTGAAGATCCTAGTTGATTTTTCAAACGAAAAAGTGTATACACGTACTACACGACAACTACACGTATATGTGTGGGCGTGTGGCGCTTTTCAAAGTGTGGCCAAAATGGTTTTTGTCTAAATTTAGAGGGCTATGTTTTGAGAGTAATAAAATAAAATAAAATACGAAAATACCTATGTGTGAACTTAGTACTACGTAGTAGAGGGGTTTATAATGTTAAATGTACAATGTAGTAGAGGACTAGAGGCTCTGGGTTTTAGAGTAAAATAGGCCTAAAACGATTTCATTGGATGTACATACAAACTACATTGTTACAATGATGCCCATTTGCAAATTTGCAATTGGTTCCAAAAATCAAAATATGAAACAAATAACAGCAGAAAAAGAAACCCAATAAACTACTCCCATTTTTTTTTACAAAACAAGTGTCAATTATTTCTTCAATTTTTCTAAAGAAAAACAATGGCGAGAGGTGGGCTTTGCCCACCATTGTTTTTGTTGGAGCCCAGAACCCTAAATCCCTAAACCCCAAACCCTAAAGTGGTTCATATAAACAAACTATCAACATTGAAATCTGAACCGAAACCTTAAATTTATTCATTAACGAAATAATAAATATTAAAAAAAACAAGATATCATAGCATCCTAAAATAAACAATTTTTTTTAGGAGGCTATGAAGATATGTGTTTTAAAAACAAAAATGCGTTCGGAGCATACTGACATTTTACAGAGTATGGAAAGTTGGAAACCCGCAAGAAGAAGCACATAACCTTCATTTAAAATCCGATGATGCAGAACTTTGTATTATTTCATATCCTTCTCGTCTATTTTTTTAGTACGCTATGAATATTTGTACAGCACTTTTAAAAAACCCCCCACGCAAGAGTCATCATTCGATATTTTTGGGGAACAATATTTTGTTTTTACTTTTTTTTAAAACAAATACTGTAGTTCCTCACACATGTACTACTCTCTATTCTGAATTCTCTGAGTCTCGACAACGCCTCAATTCTGATCTCCCTCCCCCGACTTTTATCTATAAATATGACACCCCCGTCAGTCCGTCACTATAAAATTATGTTTAGAGATCAGCGAAACGACGTGAGAGAGCGCTGTGATGACACATCGGCAGGACTATAGAAGAATATTTTGAAGCACTGGACGGAGTTAGATTGGATACAATCAGACTGATAAAGGCTTGACGCTACAGCTTGCGGAGTTTGCAAAGAATACACATCACATCGTCGGATGCCTGAGAATGTGTACGACATTGTCACAGCCGAGATGACTGCCAAGAATTGAAAAGATTGCTAATAAAATAACTCTATGTATATAATATAGCGATGTATCTGTTTATTTATTGACGTACACAGGCTTCAAGA